CTACGCTATGAAAATACGTAGAGGTCTTTGAGACCATGGAAAACGCCATTCTCCTTTGCAGAGACAATGGGTCTTTTATCACTAAGCTAGATAGTCACCAGGGAACACCCCACTATTCTCTGCAACAGGCTAATTTAAATATTAATGACCAGATCTACTTTTTGCTTTGCCATAAATGCGTTTGGTCGCTCCCTGTGCCTTCAAGCAACGTGGCAGTAATGAACCGTGGCAACAAAGGGCCTCCTTGAGGAAGTAGATGTATTGGTCTGTATAAAATTTATTTTAAAATCATTCCCAGTTGCATTTTATGTCTGAGAAAATTTACGTAAATATCTTTTTACCTATCGATTTTGTCACTTGCTATCTTTTTCCTAAACTTCCTCAGCAGCAAGCATATGTGGTAGGTCACCCAGTTGTGACGTCACATAGCAACTCGCACGAAAACTTGGCAGGAACGAGGCGCCTGCATCACCAGGAGGTGACGACACAAACGCACTCCATGTTGAATCGATGATTCACATCTTACGTCTCCTACCTCAGGATCTACTTTTTAATTATTTTAACATTTTGAAAAGATTTAGCACTGAATGTAAAACTATTTGATATATTTATTTTAAATAACAAACAATTTTTCCAACAGAAACTTAGGATACAAGAAACAAATGAATTTAAAAATGACGCGGAATACAATTTTGGTGTAAAATGTCGCCTGTGGCAGAATCTAGTTGCGACTCTCTGTGGCTCCCTACGGAGAGTGGGGCTAAAACGTCTAGGCTAACATATCAAAGATTGATCAGAAAGGGCAAGGTACTAAGATATTTAGAATAGTTGTTGATTCATGTCTCCCAAGTCTCTATAATTTTCAAAACACATTTTATTTTGAAAATATCACTTGTCAAATTATAAAAAAAACTTCATCCTGATTTTTAGTGGTTGACTTGTGTTTATACATGTAAATGATCTCAACCACGATTCAGGTTTGATATTCAGTTCTAACTGAGATTTGCTGTCACTGCATCATATGCTTTCTATGAAAGAGAAATGAGGCAAAAATAAAGTAACTTGTTAGGCGATGTACATTTACTCAAATCAAAAATACATAAAATGTAAATTGTGTCTAATGGATACATTTCAGGAAATTAAATATGTATAGTCAGTTACTTTTACTCATATACTGATGTTGTGGCTTGGTGGCATATACTTGGCTAATTTACATATTCAAATTCCATAATTTATATTACATCAATCACATACAGCGTAATGATTATATACATAGTTTTCAATATGGATGTGCTTTTCTGTGTAATGTTGGACAAGCCTCTAGAAGTAACTCACTCTTTTTTGCAAGATTTCCCTGGAACGAGTTTTATATATACAAAAGGAAATCATGATACTGTGGTTAGCTCTGACAGCATACATCCATTTGGTTTTAGCCCCCCCCCTTCCCCCCAACAAATGCACGCTAACATGAATATTAAAGTCCCTCTGCAAACGTTCTGAGATGAGAAAAATAGAGTTCAGTATTTGTTTCAAGATTATCGTACAGTTGTCAACTTTAGTCAATTAGATTAAAAAGTGAACTTACCGATTTGAAATACACAATAATGAGAAATTAAAAACAAAGGAAGAGACCAGAACTGACTATGGACTACGAGGGCAGTGTTGACTATACAACTCAGTTCTCAAACATAATACATAAAAAGGGATGGTCTCACATTGTCACAGAAGCTCAGAAAATATATTTTTTTTTTTTTTTCTGAACCCCCTTCTCTGAACAAAATTTTAACAGTGTAAAAAAAATCAACAGTTTTCACAATGTGTTCAATAGTACACTTCATCTATCAATGTGCTAGGCAATTTTAAAGTTGTTCG